ATACAGCGAACAGTATGTCGGGAGTAGTCGGTCGCGCGAGATATCTCGCTGGTACTTTGGCAAATATCGTTTCTCGATCTTCTGTTTGCCCTTCACGTCTCTCTCCGGCTCTGTACGTGCCATTAATCCGCGGAGGGATTACAGGTTCGCGGCGGGATGGGCTGCCTTATACTATACTAGCTAGCTAGCCAGCTAGCTGGCTGGCTGGCTGGCTGGTTAACACGAGGATGGAAAACAGCGCGAAACGCCGGACGTTTCGAGCCGCTGCGAAGCCAGAATTAACGGAACGGCGATTGAGTGGTAAGACACTCGGGTGATTACCCCAATTATATAAGTTCCGCGAGTGCGCGCGAGTTCGATGCGTGCACCACCGTCGACGCATGCGAGAGAGGCCGTTTATTAGAGGAAAATATCTATCGCAATCACGCGCCCCCGCCCTCCCGCGCCAGCCCCGCCGGCCTGTCCTTCTCTCTCTCTCTCTCTCTCTCTCTCTCTCTCTCTCTCTCTCTCTCTCTCTCTCTCTGTCAGGCGCTGTGCTGCGCGGCGCCGATTCGTTTCCGTGCGAAATCACGTACCGTCCACGGCGATCCCGGCCGGCAGTAAGTCATTTCGACGACGCGCCGGGCTTTCTACGTAATTACCGCTATTGATTTCAGCGCATTAACGCCGGAAAAATGCACGGTGTATGTATGTATTACGCCGCCGTTTTCTGGCTCGCGCTCCGCCGGCACGGTGTTTTTTGCCTGCCCCAAAGGCGAAGTGCCGCATTCGCGTCCGGAAATTGTAGCAAGAAGTCCAGAGAGAGAGAGAGAGAGAGAGAAAGACAGGGGGAGAGAGAGACTAGCCGGGGTCGTCGATCTTTCCCTCTTGTTCCGGAACGCGTCGTCGCGAAATTCGCGCGCACGTGCACGCGCACGCCGCGCGCTCCCGGTCTAACAGTGTGTCAGCGCGAGGCAGCTTTAGATAGTAGATAATCGTTTGATCATTGAGATCATCCGAGATACATCCCAAGAGAGGATATAAGACTCCTGCGCCGCGGCCATGGTCGCTCGTGACGTCAAAGACGAGATATGACACGCTGAAAATCCTTGTCTGCCATTTTTAAGTAAAAAGTTATTTGAATGGGAGAACACTTGAGGTCGTTTGAGTATACTCGTAAGATACTCCGGTAACTCTCCTTTTTGCTCAACAGTCGATAAACAGCCGTAAAGTTAACGTGACAAAACATGAGGAGTTTGCCTCGCACACTTGCGTGTCGCGTTAATTTTACAGCTACTTACAGACTGTTAAGGAAAAAGGATAGTTTTCGAAGTATTTTACAAGTATACTCCGGCGACCTCGAGTGTCCTTTTGCATAGATATCTTTTTATGTGGAAATGGCACGCAAGAATTTTGAGCATGCGTTTTCTCGCTTCTGACGTCGTCGATCACAACTTCCGTGGCGAAGAGAGAAAACCAGGAATTTTAAACGTGTGTAGGGTAAAACAACTAATTATTGATCTCCCTTAATCATTGACACTCTAGAAAACTCTACACTGTAAGAGAAACAACATCTAAAAAATAAAACATATTTATTCGATAGATAACACACACACAGTAATATATTTACTTACACTTTGATACAAAATATTTTTTAGATAAGAAAATATCTATTGTCTTATGATCTTACGCGAAAAAAAATGTTGATTGAATTAATAAAATATAGATGACTCAGAATTCTAGTTGATGTTATTAGGCACAAATTAATAAGCTTCTTATTACTGTATTAACACGTGATTTGCTCAACAGATACGATATTTCTTCAAAGGCGGATGATCGCTAACTACTTCTTTTCTCTCAGTATAAGAATGTCGGTTATCGTGGCTAGTTCGCCCCATCGCGGAATCTTCATTCGTATCAGTGTTCCGAGTCGATCGAGATACTCGCACATCGCCCCCTTCCCCCCCCCCCCCCCCCATGCGCTTGCGTGAACCTGAGGCCGAATTCGTCTGCCTCTTTTTGCTCGTTTCCTTTTATTTCACATTCTGGAAAATCGCGTCTCGCGCCATCGGCGAACGTACGAGCGTACGTGCGAGCGAAAGAACCGAGCGAACGACCGCGCGACCCGTCACGATTCGACGGGAAGTCCGCTCGCGCTCGAGGGCGCGTTCGACTTGTCGCCGCGGCGCTTCGCTGGCGCGCGCGCGAGACGCGCGCAAATTAACGAGCTCTCTTCGGATGATGCTCCTCGGTGAGCACTGCTCCAGATAATGATGCTGCGCATTACTCCGTCGCGCGGAGTTGCCAGCGTTTCCGCCGCGCAGCGCAGCGCAGCGCGCCGTTACACGCACCCGGATCAACTGAATCCGCGGTGCCGCGCTCGCGCGCACACACACACGCACACACACATACACACACGCGCGTGCACACATGCATACGTGCACCTAGATGCACCGAACTGACGTAGCCGTAATCACGGCAATTATGTACACGAAGCCGGCCACGACAGCCCTGCCTCGCTTCCCCCTTGCCTCCCCGGCCCGCGCGGGTGACCGCCGATCGTTTACCTCCGCGTATTTTAATTATTACAGCTCGCCTCGGCGCGGGATTTCTTTCGTACTGTCCGCCAAGAGAGCAGCAGGATTCAGCTCGTGTACACGAGCGATGTGCGCGTCCGTGCGATGTGCGCGCGCGACACGCTGAAACGACCCCTGACATGTGCGCGAAATGTGCTCTAAGCGCGCCAATTCCACGCCGGTCTTTCGAGAATTGACCCCTTTCCCTTGATCGCGCGTGAGTTTTTTGAGATACGACAATTATGCGGCTGGCTTTCTGGACGTGTTAGCTGCGCAACGTGTTAGCGCAAGCAGTTACTGCGCAAAAGAAGAAATCCATTAGTCGACCAATTCCTTCGTCTGGGCTTTGATAACATTTGTGCGAACCCGAGTCGAAATTTTGGCCCTATGTTAAACCTTGAATTCTACAATGCAGTATGAGCTAAGTTAGCAAAATAAGTTTAATTCTAATTATACAATTTACTCCTACTTTGACCTTGATGATATCTGAAATTTCCCTTATAACTTTTTTTTGCGTCAAAATAGGTTATAGTAGGTATTATAGTAGGATACTATGGCTGAAAATAGGATTAAAATTTCGACTTGGATAGGTTAAAAAGAATCAAAAGAGGTTGATGTAGGTTTCAGAGTATTAAAATAGGTGTTAAATGGAATAGTAAGGTTAAAAATAGAATTTTGACTCGGGAAGTGAATCCCGAGTTGAAATTTTGACCGTATGTTAAATCTTGAATTCTACACCGCAGTAGGAGCTAAGATAGCAAAGTAAGCTTAATTGTAATTATATAATTTACTCTTACTTTGACCCTGATGATATCTGAAATTTCTTTTTTAACTTTTTTTAGCGTCAAAATAGGTTGTATTATAGTAGGATGTTAATACTAAGGCTGAAAGTGGGGTTAAAATTTCGACTTGGATAGGTTAAAAAGAATCAAAAGAGGTTGATGTAGGTTTCAGAGTATTAAAATAGGTGTTAAATGGAATAGTAAGGTTAAAAATAGAATTTTGACTCGGGAAGTAAATCCCGAGTTGAAATTTTGACCGTATGTTGAACCTTGAATTCTACACCGCAGTAGGAGCTGAGATAGTAAAGTAGTTTAATTTTAATGATATAATTTAAATAGTAAAGTAGTTTAATTTTAATGATATAATTTACTTCTATTTTGACCCTGATGATGTCTGAAATTTCCGCTTTCGCTTTCTTTAGCGTCAAAGTAGGTTGTATAATAATAGGATCTTGGGAAGCAAAATAGGTTTAGTTGCGAACCTCTATTGAAGTTTTAGCTCCTACATAGAATATATGTATTTTATAGAAATATTTAAAAAATTTTAATAAGTAACAGAAACGTCAAATAGCATACAAAATATACATTTTATTTGTTGCATATATTTCAGACATCATCAGAGTCAAAATAGAAGTAAATTATATCATTAGAATTAAACCTACTTTGCTATCTTAGCTCCTACTGCGGTGTAGAATTCAAGGTTCAATATAGGGTCAAAATTTCGACTCGGAAATGAGTGTCAATATCGTAAATAGATTTCATCTAGGTTGTAGATTATCTAAGTAAGCTCAAACTATTTTTAAGAGCATCAAAGTAGTGTCAAAATTTTGACAAGATAGAGTTAAAGGTTCAAAAGAGAAGTTAATGAGTATCAATATCGTCAAAGTAGGTTTTACTTAGGCTATAAGCCGTCTAAGTAGATACAAACTATCCTTAAGAGCGTCAAAGTAGCATTAAATTACTTGGGTTACTACACAATTCTTTTTGTGCATTCTGTACTAAAATCGCGTTTCTAAAACGATTCTTTTGAGAGTAATTTTATCGAAAATCTATAGTTTGTTATACATACACTGTAAATATCCGGTAAAATTTTTCTCAGAAAGGATGCTTTGGAATGCAACCTAAAGAAAGCGTGTCAAGTCATTGTTGTTTTTCTCGAGATCCCGATTAAGCATCGCAATAGTTATTCACCTGTCGCGAGCGGTTGGCACCACGAAATTTTTTCAATTTGAAACAGTACGTGATAACATTCCGACCTAGAGAACATTGGATAAATAATGTCGGGCGCGTCTCGCCCACTGAAGGTTAGTTGACCTCGGGAACAATGCTATACGTAAGTACTTGAGGACCAAGCAGTCATAACAGCCCCTGACGCGAGGGTCAAACGTACCGGGAGACGACGCGCGTGCCTCCTAACTTTTCCAGTATCGATAGAAACACACATGAGACGCGTTACGTCGCCTCACGATCGTGCCGAAATCGTGCCGAAAACTGAACAGTGGCAGCATCTTGAAATCTCTTAGGGGTGACCACCACTTTTCATTTTTATTAATTTTACAAAGAAACATTTCGCAGGCTCATCTCGAGCCTCCGTATGTTTGACACGCTGCAATCTATCGACATAACTAACCAGGAAATTTACTTTTTGTTTCATATAATCCAGTGTTTGTGACTGTACGGTGGATGCGGCTCTCGCAGGGGTGCGGATTCGGTGGACGCGGATGCCGTACCGGAGAAGCCGGTTCGGGCCGAGCAGGGTCGGTTCGAAGGTAGGTTTACGGATTTCCTCTGCTCTTGCATGTGACTTTTTGCGATCAAGAACCGGGCCGTGATTGTCGGAATCAACATGGTTGAGCTCCAACGATCGCAAAATGTGTTAACACATTCGTAACCGCGCGTGTTTGTCCTCGTTAAGCTGTTAACACTCGTATCTAATCGGTGAAACTGCGTCTTTTTGTTCCAGGCATGTAGCGGAACGTGGCCGGCCCTGAGTTCCTGGTATTTCGGTGAGTCAGAAAAATGAGTATAAAGATTTAAGGTGATGCGTTATAGCTAGGTGTCCGTAAACGTTGGAATCAATGCGATTTAATTCATTATTTAAGAATAATTCATTATTCTTTGGTTTCATATGTGCTATATATTTTTTTTTTCAGAAATATTGAAAGGCATTATTAAAAAAAATTTACTGTATTCTCTTAGCGAAATTTATTATATTCTTTGGTGAGATAGACCGTACATCTTCACATTATTAGAAACATATAGAAACTGAAAAAAATTTGTAAAAAACTGCAATATTTTCGCCGTATATGTATTGCAATATTATGCCGTATACTGCTATTGATTGAGAAACACTGCTTGAAATGATCAGAGAATTGTTTCTTGCTTTGACTTACACTTCTTATATGTCTCTTTCGAGATATACAACTATTAAAAAAAAACATTTTTATACACAATAACTAAAGTAAAGTACAAAAACTTGGCGTGCCAAATACGACTTGGGTCGTATTTGGAATATTAGTCTTCACTGTAAAAATTAAAAATGTATATATGTTTGGAGGGGGGGAGGCAGGAGGAAGACGTACGTGTACTTGTTTTAATACGATCTGAGCACGCCAAATTTTTGTACCTTACTTTGGTTATTATGTATAAAAATGTTTTTTTTAAAGTTTTTTGTTATGAGTTTGTTATATAAGTTTGATTTTTATATATTGGTCCTTTATATCAGTTATATCTATTGTAACTTTGTAATAATGGCTTATTAGTTATAATCTATTGTAATTTAATAATAATGAATCATGTGCTTGGATTATTTTACTGATTTCATATATTTTAATTGAGTTTTATTTAAAAAATTTTTTGGATAAAAATGTTTTATTACGTTGTTTTTTTTTACAACCATTTATAGAGGTTTTTAATTGAGGTTTTTGTTAGATTTTTTATAAAGGGTTTTTGTTAGGTACAATTTGCTTAGATTTTTATATATTTGGCGTATTTTTTATCTTTATAAGGTCTTTTTATTTTTATGATATCACAGCTTTTTGCATGAATTAAGAAAATCTTATTATGTTTGTTCTGCGAAGAATATTGTAAAAAAGAATCCCGTAAAATATAATTATGAAGAAATAGTATGTTTAGATGGTCAAAATACATCCATATCATTTACGGATTGCGACGAGAAACATTCTGCTGGGCGTGTCAGACATACTTTAACTTTTTGTTTAGTTTTATATAAAATTTGCTTCATTTGCAGAATACAAATTTTGTTGGTAAAAGCATCATTTTGTTATACGCTCAGCTTCCAATCTACTTTCAGAAGATATTCTCTCCAACAAGTTTTGTTATATTTCTAATATATTTTTCTTCAGTATATTGCATTTTTATATTATTATTTATCAACATAATATATTTATATTTTTTAATAGTTGCTACAACTTGTTTCTTATATTTACCAACAAACAAATTTCTATTATATAAATTCCTTTCTGTATACCTTTTTTTAATTTATTACTTTATTATTCTTGCGTGTTTTATTTTTTTTTAGAGTAAAATATCTTTGTGATATTTGTAATATTTATATTTAAATTTTCATTTTTTAAATATAATTGTCACGATTACATATAATTTATTCTTTTTTATAAAAACATATACACACACACACATATCTTTGTGTGATTTAAAATAAATGTTTATTTTTTTTAAATAACTGCACCGATTACATACTATTATCAATTAGACGTAACGCTTCCGCGTCGCTTGATATACGTATTTCAATACGTATTTCAATTATTATATTTAAAAACGACATATTAGAGCGTTATCGCCACGACATGATGTACAACAAACTTAAACTTTGTCACATATTGTAAAAAAGACTTAAACAATTAATATTTCGGAAAAAACTGACCGCTAAAAATTTGTATGTTGAATTGTGATAGTTTCAGATCTCAGGATTGACTGCACTAATTTTTATCAAATTGGTCGCAATTGGAAGTTTATATTAACGTTTCTGTCAAAAGTGCAATTAGATTTTCCATTACGGCTTTATTTCCCGAGATATTTTAGTTGGAAGTACGATCGTCGCAAAAATTGCGGATAAGCTTCTTCTTGGTAGCGTCGTATACCATGAACATAGTCACATCTCGGTCTCGGTCTTTGTCATTCTCGGACTCGTCTTTATGTACTTGGCGTTGCGACGCAACCGCGTCGCTTGATTTGTTTAATGTGATCCACGCGAAAAAAACGCGCCAAAAAGATTTGGTTGAAGTAATCAAGTTTCTGATAAAATATGAGCGAAGCAGAAAAATCTGGCTGAACCCTTGTTAAGAGTGTTCAACTTCAACCGGAATTTTCTGGTTCGTTCATAATTCACCCGCAAAAATTCGTTTAATCCAATCAAACTCTTTCCACCGTGCACTAATCGTTTCAGTATAAAATACGCATCAGAATTGCGCGCTATCGTATGCGAGATTCACGATGGCTCACCTCGCTCGTGATAAATTATGCGATCTCACGGTGGTTCACGGCTTTCCTCTAAAATTTCTCATACACGACGAATTATGATGACAGTACGGTCGAAATAATCGCGAAATTCGATGCGCGCATCTGTATTGTTTCTTCTAAAAACCAGAATTCTCGCGGCACGGCAGTCCCGTTTTTCGCCAGGATATAATCGCCCGCGGAACGAGATATTTGTTCTCCCCCCGACCTTGTCGAAAGCGCCGTGCGATCTCCGCTTCGCAATTTATTATACATATTTCGCGGGTATATTCCCGTGCCTCGTTGAAATTTACCGTGTACTTTTCATTAAATAAATAACCGTCGTGAAACAATTATCGCGACTGTGAGCGTAGCGCAGTGCGATGAAGTGAGCGAGATGCAATCGACGTGAGACGACAGCCGATCGCGGAAAAGCCAGGTTGAGGAGGCTGAATACTGGATCTGGACGTCGCTCGCTCAACGGAAAATGGTGAGCATACAAAACGTTACATTACGCGGTGCGTGTCTAGACGTAAATCGCATCGATTCCCGAGAAAATGTAATTGACGACGCGTAGCGCGCGCGACACTGTAATATAGTCTAGTTATATAAAAAAGGACCTGTGCAACGGCAGCACATATAGCGTGAGAATGCGCGTCGCGGGCAAATTGACGAGGATAGTCCGATGTAGTTCAACCTGATTGCGGACGTAATAAGCGGTATTATGCAATCAGCGTCGGGACGGGATAAAAATTCATGAATATTACAGGACGCGCGATCGTAGGAGAAAATTAACGGTATCGTTACGCGTTAATCAGGTGGTAGTTGCCAAACATACTCGAAATCAGCCAAGCGCGGTAAAACAATTATTCATCTCACGCGCTTGTAATAATCCAATTGACTTCTGTTCGCGAGCGAAGCGGGGATTGTTAATAACCGCCGACAAAAACCCCTGGCGCATAATGACGCCTAGTAATTGATATTCAAATAAAATGATCGTTAATAAAATCGCGCGCGCGCGCGAAAGAGAGAGACAGAGATAGGTAGATAGATAGATAGATAGAGAAAGACAGAGTGCGCAATCGTACGATCAATTGATATTAAAATTACGTTTGATCGTCCACTATGGAAAAAGGAAAAAAGAAAGAGAAAGGAATAAAGGAAAAAGATAAAGAAAAAAGTGGGGAGGAGGTGAAAAGAGAAAAGAGGAAAGAAAAGGAAAACGGCGAAGGAGCCAATCGTCGCGGCGCGAACGTGATAACTATTACTTTGTGATATTACGACTCGGATAATCATTTCAATTATTAGGACCTTAACTTAGTTTCCGCCCGCAAATGTTAGATGGCAATGCAAACAGTTCTAGTAGTCATTACTAACGAAACAGGTAGTTTGTGATTAATTTCGACATTTCTCGATAACATTCAGTCAGCATACACAATTATTTTCCTAAACAACAATTTCTTTTGCTTTGTGAAAAATGGAACGCGATAAAGTGTTTTTTCGACATGTG